GTTTCGACAAGGTTTTGTTATCATCAGGTACAAACGTTGTACATTTGCTGTTATGTTAAACTTGTATTAAAATTTTTCTTCATTACCCATTCAAGCCGTCTCCAGCCATTAAATGAACAATTTGGTCTTTTTGTCAAAATAATAAGGTTCAGTTCCGTATTAAAAGAAATGAAGGCAAAGAACACAAGGTTGTAAGTGTAACCAAGGCCAGACATCGACCTTCGATAGTACAAACTTGTATGATTTACTGATGACGGCACCACAACTACTAGTTTATATTTTATTAAACCCATTTATTTTGCGAGTAATACATATTAAACATTCACATGTTGTTTAAAAACACGTGATATAGAACAGTAATTATGTTTTTATTTTTTAAATTAAAATTACCAAAAACGCACATTGTTTATGTACACACATTAATTGCTACAAGCGATACTCGTACAGATATAGTAAGCTCGCGTTGCAAGAGCGCCCTGTTGCTGCCAATTAAAAGAACTGCAGCTGACTTGAGGAAAACAAAGCTTTGTTTAACAGTCAGTGAGTCACCGTTCCTAGCAATGTAACAGTTATAGTCTATTTAACATAAAACTTAATTAATTAAACATAATAATGGATAAACAGCAAAACAGGACAGAGCAACACTGACAGTTTAATCAGAAAATAAATACAGACATTCAACTTTAGCTAAAAGTTATTACCAGTCTCATTATTTAAAATGTGTGTCAATTAATTAAGGGTATGACTTTTTAAAGGCGTAGGCCTAATGAATAAATACTAATTATTGTTATAAATAAACCGAAAAACGGAACAGAGTAACTAAAACTTGAGTAGGAAAATAAAATATCGTGAACCACGATAGTGTCATGCAGGGGTGAAATTCTCAAAAAAGAGGAAACGTAATCAGCTGGGTGAAGTAGATCTGTTTTTGAAAATGAAACAAATATGTGTGTGTAAACACACAAAAAAAAAACGACAAAGCAGCTCAAATAAGTCCCGGTACTGGTACCGCCTTAAAAAACAGTTTCCGGAACTAAGTACCGGCAGAATTTCACCCCTGGTGTCATGTACTACCATAATAGGGATCGCAGGAAATTGAATAAAACCCTAATAGAACGTTCTGGCAAAAAGAACCTCGAACAGTAAAAATTCAGTTCAAACAACGCTTTAAAACCTTTACTATTGACTGCTGAGGCTGTGCACATATAAAAATGCAGAAAAAAAAAGCACGCATGTTAGATTTGCAAGGAAAATTCGCTCAAATTACCCGTTTGTAATTGCACCCAAACCTTTTGTAGAATACTAAATAAGGTATTGCGAAGGTCGTAGGTGGTATTGAAAAGTCGATTTGTTTCTTTTATATTTTACATAAAGCTAAAAAACATCATAATTCTAGTTATCATAACCCCTTGAAATTAGCTTTCTTACAAATATTTGGTGTTCCTTTAAAAAGCTTAAGTTCAAAGTGAAACAGGAATTACCAGCCAAGAATAGATGACTGTAACATGTAGATACTCATTGCTTTGTACACTATACAATCGGTGTCTTTAGGGAGCTAACCCTTATATTATGTATGAAGTGAAGGAATAAAAAAGCATTAATACACATAATATAAAATTTTATTACACTCATTCTTAGAATAATTATTTTAAAATACACGAAGGTTTATCTAAAGCGATGTTTTAGACGTATATGTTATGTTTGAAAAGGCTGCTTTTCAACTGGTAAAATCTTTTACGCGCTTAGTAGGGTTTATGTCTTAGTCTAGGCATATATTTGCCTATTGTTATGCATTATATATAGATGATTTAGTTACACAGAAACTATAAATGCTCACTATATTCTCAAACAATTCACCATGACAATTTCAGTTGTAGGTTAACAAAATACTCAATAGCTATAGTATATCATCATGAACCGTATCAGCTAGCTACTAGCTACGTTTATTATCATTACAATGTATAAGATTAGCTATTATATCAAGTAATTATTTGCCCATAGTTGAGCATAAAAAAATCCAACAAATAAGCTATATAAAAAATTGGGAATTTAAAAACCTGTAAACAGGGATCGTAAAACAAAGTAAGGAAACAAGGCTGGAGATACTGTAGACATAAGTTATTAAAACTACAAATCCCTATTTTGACTCCACCAAATGTAATTCTAGGTAATAGCATAGAGCTAAAATAGGAGTTTATAGTTTTAATAAATTATGTCTACAATATCACCAGCCGTGTTTCCATACTTTTTTTACGATCCCTATTTGCAGGTTTTTAAATTCCCAGTTTTTTATTTATCTTGTAAACCTTACGACTTGTACACTTGGCTTTCAGTTCATGCAGCAACACAGCTGGTAAACAGACGCTCTAATACTCTACAATAGTGGTCTGTCCTAATGTACCAATAGTGGTCTGTCCTAACATACCAATAGTGGTCTGTCCTAACATACCGATAGTGGTCTGTCCTAACATACCGATAGTGGTCTGTCCTAACGTACTGATAGTGTTCTGTCCTAACGTACCGATAGTGTTCTGTCCTAACGTACCGATAGTGTTCTGTCCTAACGTACCGATAGTGTTCTGTCCTAATGTACCAATAGTGGTATGCCGTAATTTACCAACAGTGGTCTGCTCTAATGTACCAATAATTGTATGTTCTTTTCTACCAATAGTGGTATGCCCTAATGTATTACTACTAGTGGTCTGCTACGTGTAACGTTTTACTGTTGTGTAGTTTTTTTAATACCAAAAGATCGAATTTTCCGTGTGATCACAATTAACCTATGATTACTATTCAAGCATTGACGAACAGTTTCTGTTATCAAGAGGACAACAAATTACTCAATTTCTGAATGCTTAGATCCATCTTCGAATTTCTGGCTAGCGAACGAAAGTTCAAACACAGCTTTACTTCGAACATGTAAGGAATGGTAACAGTACTCGAAATCAAATCATAACTAAAAAATTACCTAACTATAGAGTTTAAAATAGTAATTAGTATGTACTCCTACCAAAGGTCACCCCCACCCACCATATTCTCCAGATATGGCACCATCAGATTACCATCTTTTTCATTCGCTGCAACACCATCTTAATGGGAAAACGTATGCCAATGTGGAAGGTGTTATAGAGGACATTGACATGTTTATTGCTTCAAAGCCAAGTGAGTTCTTTAATCAGGGCATTAACAACCTGATTGTAAGATGGAAAAGCATCATCGATAATAATGGTGACTATTTCATTCAATAAATGTTTTGTTTTGATATACAAGTTGTTCGGTTTTTTTCATCTAAAGAAAGCGACATTAATTTCTTGAAGACCTCATACTTAGGCATAGTGTTAAACGTTTTGCACAAACTAGAATCATATGACTAGTTAACATACTTATGCTTAGTGTTAAAGGTTTTGCACAAACTGCACTCACTATATTACTATTAATACTAAGATATATTGTGTTAAGAGTTTTTCCAAACTACAAGAATCTTGTTAATACTGAGACATATAGAATTAAATATTTAGTACGAACTAAAATCCTCCTGTTTTTGTCAACACTGGGACATATTGTGATACATTACAAACTAGAATTATCGCATTAGTTTTTATAGTGAGACTTATTATGTTAAACATTTTGGACATCGTACTGTCATCCTGTTTGTGTTAACTAACACTAAAACGTATTATGCCAAATGTTTTGGTGAAACTTCCCAACCCAACTCCATAATCTTGTGTTGCGTCAAACGTGCCACATGTGGACGTACATTGTTGTGGAGAAGAACACCTTTTCGATTGATAAAGTGCTTGATTTAAACGCTCCAGTTGCTGACTATAGATCTCTGCTTTGACAATTCGCTGTGGATTGAGGAGTTCGAAATGAATTACTCCTTTGATATCCCACCAAATGCAAAGCATCACTTTCTGCGAATGGAGTCCGGGTTTGGGGTCGGAATTGGTTTTTGTCTAGGACTGAGATATTGTTTTTGGCGATTAATATTCGCATAGAGAATCCATTTTTCATCACCGGTGACA